GATCCCTTCAGTGCAAACTAGGTAAAGGTGTGTGTGAGTTTCCTGTTATTTTTCTCAGTTTCAGAGACCACCATACCAGATCTCAATCTCAATCTTGAAACCAAATGGGAAGTATAGAGGCTTATATGAATTAATATGCTATGTTAACCAAGCCATTAAAATAGGTCTTGAAAGGTTTCTGAAAACTAGTGATGGATCTGCTGTGCTTGTTGAACATTAACCACTGGCAAATTCTAAGTATGTCAAAAAAACTGCAGTAGTATGTTTGAAGAAATATGATTCAGCATTGATTGTAGGAAATATATAGCTGAAATGATACACTGTAGAGATCAAAGAACAGATGCTTTAAATAGTTAACCAAACCCTTCATAGTTAATACAAAGAATGATCCACACACTGCTTCATGGGTCATTAAGTTTAAGTGATACATTGAATTTGTTGAACAATATCATGATTGGGCTTGTCTAGAAGAATGTGGAACTAAAACTTTACATACCTCTTAGGTTTACATTATTGTATGAACAGCTTCTAGGATGATAGTTATGTTAGTTTGTAGCAACAAAACAAAGAATTTGTGGCAATTTAAAAACTAACAACAAAAAATCTCTCTATGTAGCTGATGAAGTAGATGGAGAAGTCCATTAAACTTCATGCAGTGGTATATTTGTTGCCTTTTAAGATGCCATAAGACACTATTTGTAAGCAGTTCTGCAGCTATTTGTATCATTCAGATGGCTATAAAATAAATCAATGTACTGGGGATTTTAAAAATAATTTATAGTAAATAATGTTACCTAAATGGTAACCTTTAGGCAACATAGCAGTTCCAGTGAGTGAAAATAATAGGAAAAGTTGGCCATGGCAATTTCAGTAGGAAGTGAGTGTAGATAACTTAGTCTGGATCCAATGCAAAATGTTTATATATCTGTTTGAGAGAATGAGTACAGCACAATTAGTATACCTGTGTCCTTCCGCCAACTGTAACCAACTAAGAGTCCCATCTGCTTTGGAAAATGTTTTTTTTTCTTTAAGAGGGGCAGGACTGCTTCAGTAGGAGGTATTTTTTCCCTTGGTAATTTGGCAGAAAAGAGGAACATGGATACGGTGTGAGAGTGGGTCTCCCACTCCCTAATGTGTGAAAGAGCTCCAGGACAGAGGAAAAGCTAGTAGAGATAGCGGCATCAAGAAGAAAAGGCTTCAGAAGCAACAGCATCTTTCCTCCCCTGGAGCACAAAAGCAGCCCAGCAATGCCAGCAGGTTGGACTCAAAACCCCTCCTCCCAAAATTGCTGCTCCTGAAGGAGAGAGGAAAGGTGGTGACTGTGTGTAGTCATGGGCCATAAGAGTTGTAAGGGGACACCTGGGGAAGTGGCTTCCTCAAAGCAACAGCAGTAGGGGGAGGAAGAGCAAGCCTAGAAGTCTTGATGGTGAAGCATGTTGTGCATGAGTATAATGGGAACCATGATGCAGAAGGAAGCAAGATGGCAAACTACAGTCCAGAAAATCTCAGGAAGTGTAAACTGGGGAAGAGGAAAAAGGTTGGAGCAGAAGGAAGCAGCCCCCCTATAGCTTTTACAGACCCAGCCAAAAGTTGCAGCAGTGGCCAAGTGGCCAGATAATGTCACAGAAGACTTTGAAGAGCAAGCCAAGAAGTATTTCAGGAGGCTCCGTGAACACTGACAATTGGCCTTGAAGTGTTGGCTTCAGCAAATTTTTCAGTGACCTAGATAACAGATAACATGTATGGGCTGAGATTTGTTTCCAGATGAAAATGCAGTGCATCTTGCATGTTTTAAAAACACCTGTTTGGATTCTGTTTAGTTAATGGAAATGATTATATTAGTATTTAGAAGACATTTATAGTTGGCTGCTTGAAATGTGATTGGTGCAATCACTGGCCTAAATGCAAGTGTATTTCTCATGCCTGACAAGGAAAGGTTGTTAACACGTTTAGACCATGGGCTGGTGGGCACATCTGGAGTTCTGAATTCATGCTGTGAGTGTTTTTACAAAATGCCCATCATTGTATTACCTTGCCTATCCATAGATGTGTTGAGAATGGCCATTTACAGCAATCATTTACCAGAAAGCAAACTGATGAGATTGCCCTCTCCATATCCTGTCTTGCCCTTTTGGATGCTTCATTCTTCCAAATAAGCTGCAGGCTGATATCTTCTTTACTTTACTTTGTTATAATACATATGGAGTATATGCAAAGTCTACAGGCATTCTTGTAAAGGAAGACACTTCTCAAGGCAAGGTATCTAACTTTGCATCATGCCAGTTCCCTGAAGATTATTACCTGACAGCTATCAGACCTGAATGTGAACCAAATTGCCTCCCCTTCATCTGAATATAGCTTTTTGTTCCTTTCCTTTTTTCCACCCTATAATACTTGCCAGTTTATTTAGAAGTCATACAGATTCTGTAAAGGGAAAAACAAAAGAAAACAACATCTATCATTTTTTGTATTAAAATTAATAGTAAGAATAACAAAGTGAACAAAGTTGGGTTAGGGTTATGAGAAATGATTTGGGTAACTTGTATAAGTTGTTGAAACAGCTATTTGAAATCTGAAGCAAGTGTAGGCATGCTGTCTTCTTCCTATCAAATGATATTTGTTCATGATTTTAGGTTGAAAATAAAATTTAAAGACCACACAACAAGCTTGTATTTAGTCTTGGTGTTGAGAACCACCAAATACTTCAAGTGTAGTGTTTCCATAGGCAGAGTTTCTTTTGTATTTGTACACGAGGGGAGCCTCAAATTCCAGAAGCATTACATGGTAGGTTTAATGAATTAATGTCTGGTTTTCCTGCAGCTGATGTGACAAGGAGCTTTATAAGCTGCTTCCCATCGATCCCTGCTTTCCAACTCTTTTGTGTCTTCAGCTTGGAGAAAATGATGAAGAGCTTGGTTTCTACAGTAACTGCTGCCTGCAGGCAATTTTTTTTGCAGTGTTCTTTTTGGTCTGCAAAGATGCAGTGTATTTAGTTTCTTTAGAGACCTTTTTTTCTGTTAGTCTGGAGGTTTAAATTTTATGTGGTTTAATGCTGTAAAGGATGGTGGAATTTATACTTGTGAGTGAAGTACTTTTAACCCACATGGTGGGTTAACATGGTGGGTTAATAGTGCTGTTGGCCACAGATAACTGTAATTAATTTCTTTTGTAAAAGAAATGTGGGAAAGCAAATTAGTTTAAGGATACACTATGCCAAACTGATGTAGAGGTGAAATTTAATATCTGTCAAAGCAGTGGCTATCATATTTTCTGCTAATGAATTCCTCAAGTAAGTTACGCATTTTAAACATAATGAATTTATTTCAGACTATGCTGAGCCTTTTCAATATCATTGTATGACCCAAAGTTCTAATACTATGAGAGATAATTTTTCTGTGTAAATAGGATTTGTTTGTAAACTTTTTTGGCCTCAGTATAAAAAAAAGAAAGTAAGCAAAACCAGATATTTTAGCCTTGGTCAAAGAGAGGATTCCCTTAGGATTGCAACGATTGACCTTTTTCTGTATTTTTTCTTAGCTTCATACAGTGGGGCAAAAAAGTATTTAGTTAGCCACCAATTGTGCAAGTTCTCCCACTTAAAAAGATGAGAGAGACCTGTAATTTTCATCATAGGTATACCTCAACTATGAGATATTGACCAAATACTTATTTTCCACCATGATTTGCAAATAAATTCTTTAAAAATCAGACAATGTGATTTTCTGTATTTTTTTTCTCATTTTGTCTCTCATAGTTGAGGTATCAGGTCATTCACTAGGTCCCCCCGTGTGGTTCTGGGATTTTTGCTCACCATTCTTGTGATCATTTTGACCCCACGGGGTGAGATCTTGCATGGAGCCCCAGATCGAGGGAGATTATCAGTGGTCTTGTATGTCTTCAGGTCATTCACTAGGTCCCCCCGTGTGGTTCTGGGATTTTTGCTCACCATTCTTGTGATCATTTTGACCCCACGGGGTGAGATCTTGCATGGAGCCCCAGATCGAGGGAGATTATCAGTGGTCTTGTATGTCTTCAGGTCATTCACTAGGTCCCCCCGTGTGGTTCTGGGATTTTTGCTCACCATTCTTGTGATCATTTTGACCCCACGGGGTGAGATCTTGCATGGAGCCCCAGATCGAGGGAGATTATCAGTGGTCTTGTATGTCTTCAGGTCATTCACTAGGTCCCCCCGTGTGGTTCTGGGATTTTTGCTCACCATTCTTGTGATCATTTTGACCCCACGGGGTGAGATCTTGCATGGAGCCCCAGATCGAGGGAGATTATCAGTGGTCTTGTATGTCTTTCATAGTTGAGGTATACCTATGATGAAAATTACAGGTCTCTCTCATCTTTTTAAGTGGGAGAACTTGCACAATTGGTGGCTGACTAAATACTTTTTTGCCCCACTGTACTATGCTTTGGAGAAATTCTTAGACATGTTTAGAACGACCTATATGTCAACATGTCAGTATGTGACTATTATTAATATTTACAGTGGCACAAATTGGGCTTGCAAAAAACTTCCCTTCATGTACTTACGTTTTTCTCAAACACAAATCCAGATAGGGAGGATGGATGAATGCAGTCTGCAAAGATGTTCCATATTGTCCCAGTCCTGTTCTGAAGCCCTTGACCTTTTTGTGAAACATTGTACAACATTACTAATCATTGAGGATAAGCCTATTAAGGCATTAGCCTCATAGTTTCCTGACTTAAGAGCTTGAATCATTATTGAACATGCTGGTCTTAACTGCCACTTCAAAAATTATTAAATGATTATTGATTGCAGTTTTGATATAAAAAGATCAGAAGCAAAATCTACAAAAGAGCAAATTTCTAAATGAATGTGATTGTATTTACAAATGTTATTTTTACTACAAATATGTTATGTAGCCTAATAACAATTGCACATAATTTTCTTATTAGTATGAATGCTGTTGAAATTATGCAACCCCCCCCCACTTTTATTTCAGTTAATGTCTTTTGTGTTTACTTTTCAGATGTACATTCAGGTTTCCCAGCACAAACATCAAGATAACATTTACAGCTTTATCCAATGAAAAGAGAGAAAAACAGGAGTCCCCACAGTCCCCAGTGAAACCTGTACAACCCCAGATTTCTCCCCTAACAATAAACATTCCAGACAACATGGCTCACTTGATCAGCCCTCTTCCTTCTCCCACAGGAACCATCAGGTATTTTGATACTATGTTGCTGTATATAGGTTTACCATAGAACTACAAAAATGTAATACTAATTTGTAATTTTAATTTCTGCAATCACATTTACCTTATCCTTGGAGTATATTATTTTTGCTTGTTCTCTGTGGCCACTTAATCATGTTTATGTGGCATTAAATGAAATGCCAGCAAACATTGTTGGTTAAATTCAAGATGAAACTGACAGTCTCATTGATTTCAGTGTGGGCTTATCCTATTTATGAATAAAGGGGTTGTGCATATGTGGGGGCTTATTTGAAGAGAAATAAATGTATATGTATGGGCACTTTTAATAATATTACTTATATATTATGTATTATTACTTATTTGTTATGTATTCATCTAATTGTGAGGCTGCCCAACTCAAAAAACAACTCTGGGTGGCTTCACAAAGTTAAAAGAGAAGAAACAACATTGTATTAAAAATTGCCCCGAAGAAACAAAAAAAAATGTCCCACATTTTCCCAAACTAGAAGGACCCACTAGGCACCCTAACCTGCTAAATGTCATTGTTTAATCGATAGAACCTGATGTAAACCATTCTGTCTGATCATACAGGGCAGGCAGATAACTATAAGAGACAAATGTTCTCCAAATAACTAGATCTTAGTTTATGCAGAGCTTTATAGGTAATAACCAGCACCTTGAATTGCACCTGGAGTTTTACTGGTAACCTGTGCAGTTCACGAAGCAGAGTGTTACATGGGCATAGTAAGGCTGCTGCATTTTGGACTAGCTGTGGCTTCTGAGTAGACAGTTCTATGTAGGGGCACATGCTTAAGTCCCAGCCAGCCTCACTTCTCATATTGAAGTACAACTGAGAGAAATAACATTGAGGGCAGAAAGGTAATTTCCTGTCAAGCAGATTCAGTTCTTTTTATGGTCTTTTGATTTCTCAAAATGGACTCATAATTTAGCATGAAGTGTGAAAATAGTGTTTGGAATCATATGTTTGTGTGCAGCAGGATGCTTTATGAAAAGTGTGTGAATTTTGTTTAAACTAACCTTTTGCTTAAACTAACCTTAAACTAACCTTCCTTGATATAAATAAATGATAACGGGACTGCCTTATGTACATAGATATGTATACTAAAACTATAGAATTAAAACAGTAAAATAATTGTCTCAAAAATATTTTAGGAATGCTTTAACTAAGAACGAAAAGTATTTTTGTATCATTCTGTGCAAATATTTTATTATTTATCATTCCTAATATAATCCTTGAAATGCCACTGCTGAAAATTGTCTTCTCCATGTGGCAATATGAGGCAAGGGGTTGCAACATGTGTTGTTAGTCAAGTATCCTGCACAACACCTTACTATAACACGTGAACCAGAACAGTATATTATGTGATGAAACGCTACTTAATTTAATTAAAACATATGACAGAAGTTCTGAGAGTATCCTTAGTGATTCTTGGTATCAGAAAGAAACATTATTTCATGTAAGATCAAAAATGTGATTTTCAGTCTGAATAAAACATAAACAACATGCCCCAGGAGAGGTAATTGTGAACATATTCATCTTTCTTATGGGGGAAGTGAATAGATCTTTATGTTTACCTGTGCTCATATATGAACAAGATAACAAAGGACTCAGAAATGCTGTTTTTTTCCTATTGAACATCTGTGTGTATAAAATTAAATTTATGTATTTATACTATTCATATATAAGCATAACATACCTAAAACTGTTCTCAAGAAAATAAAAATCCAAAAGTATTAACTTTTTAGTGGAACTCATAATCTTAAAAAATATTTTACAGCAGCTTAAAATGTGTCATTCCAAAATGCAACAAGCAGAATCCAGTTCTCTTAAAACATTATTTACATTTTAATAATTCAGTGAAGTGTGTTATCAAAAATACTTTATTTTCATTCATTTTATTAAGCATATTTATATGGACACTCATCTACCAAAGCACTCTGGGCCATATTTTCAAGCACCGTTCTGAAACAGCAGGAATGTTATCTCTGTTTAATTAATCTAGAACGCAGAAAGATTTCTTCAGCTAAGTTATTTGTGATAAATTTCAAAAACATTTCTGGGATATTATAATAAAATTACTTTAGGATTTTCTATTAATAAATCACCTATTATTTAATTCAAATTCTTCAAAACAAATTGATTAAAAATGATAAAAATCTTTGGGGAATCATAACTCTGTTAGCAACAGTAATGACCAATGTGATAACTGCCTTGATATAACATTCCAATTATATTCTGTTTGTTCACATAATGTACCAAACAAGAGTGTTTCCTCTAGTTGTGGATTTGGCAGTAAGCCACAGTTTAAAGCTGTAGACTTGCTTTAAAATTACCGTATTTTTCCGACTATAAGACGATACTTTTTTCTAA